GTTTTGTTAGTCTAGCCCACGAGACGCGCCGCTGCTGCGTTATTCATTCAAAATATTAGAGAAATATAGAAGCTCAATGCGGAGAAGATCTTGAATGCGTTAAAACCGAAACCAAGCCATTCACACAGAACGCATAATCAGCACATTTTTAGACAGACAAATATGACAGCTGCACTCGCGTCTCACACAAGAGTATAGAAAGCCATGCAAAGTTAAAACAGTTTAAACTTTTAGAAAACACGTCACGAATTTGTGGAGGTTTATTCCTTTTATCTGCGTCTCGTATGTTTTTAAATGCAGTCTGTGTGGCGGGGGCTTCGGCTCTTTGGATTAAGCAATGCATAAATACATGATGCTGTTTTGTTCATAATTGTTTATGCAATTTACGAAATTATATTAGATTTTTATGAGTTAATTTTGACGTAATGCATGTTTTTATAGAGTTACTTCCTTGCGTTGACAATTTTAAATGCGCTGCATTATTTTGCACATTGCGCCCTCCTGTGGCCTCGGGAGACAATTAGTTTTGAAAACCTATACAATAAAGACCTATTTAATCGGCATATAAAACATTAGAAATTAGATACGTTTAATTTTTATTATGTTTGATTGTTAAAACAAAAAATATTTGTTGTTTGTCTCAAATTGTGTTAATTGTAAATACTGTGGTTAAATTAAAAAAAAAAATTCTATTGCTTTGTTTTAAAAAAGGTCAATAATTATCGATACCGAACGATATGAAACATTATATCGTTGATACATTTTTTTTTTTAGCTGAGACCAAAAACGTTTGTTTGTGGATAAACATTTTTTTAAAATTAGGATATGTTCCTTAGACTTATTGGAAGGTTCAGTATAGTAGCAACTAATATATTTAAACTAAAAGATTGGGTGTTTAACCATATGAGAGTATAAATTGGACCAAAACTTCTGAATTATTTCACAAGACAAAAATTTATCTTTTAATGATTCATTCGCACCAATAAAGTGGACTGTTTTTGGTAAGACATCTAATAGGTCACATGTCATATCTCATGTTATAGCTCAGATTGAATAAAAGTTCCAGTCTTTTGAGTATGTTTTCATAGAATATCAAACTCTTTTATTAGAGTTTGAAATGGAGTCAAGTACGCTGATCTGTGTGTGTATATGTGCTGCAGGTGATTCTGAAGACGAGGGAACTCTCCGAGAAGGAACTCAAGATGAAACCGCCACTGATGGATTCGCCGTGCCATCAGAAGGTCTGACCAATCACGAGTCTCGAACCCATCTGATAGTAGAGCAGCACCCAGAGCGTTAGCATGCAGGCCTGTGTTCTCCTCGTCGATTGGCTGAATCACTCGCTGTGCATTTTACTACACTGTTTAACCCTGTTCTCTGATCAGATTCCATTCATTTAGATCTGATCGTTCTCTTCTCCTTCCACCTCTTTCTCTGCTCGACGTTTAACCTTTATGCTCTTCCTGTTTGTCTCTCTCGTCCCGCCCCTTCCTGTCGGATAGTCTCCCTCAAAATGGTACTGGAAGCTGGTGCCTGTAAGTGCCACAGCGCCCCCTGCATCCGTCACGTCACGCTGCAGGAAAAGCGTGACTAGATGTTGTGTGTGTGTGTGTCATTGTGCATCTCATGCGTTCATCCATCTGTCCATCTCTCTGTCTTGTTTTGTCTCTGTCTGTCTCAGCCTGATCTCATGAACGCTTTGGCCCATTGCATGCTGGAACCGGTGGAATTCTCTCGTGTGGTACAGTACTCGTGCTCTCTCACATACGCATACTCAAGGTCTGCACGAACCCAAACCCAGAGCTATTTTTTTTTTTTAGTAATTACAAACAAAAGCCTGCTGCAGACCTTTCAGGTCTCAAATTGACTAGCAGACATCTAACACACTCTTCAATACTTCACTCTTCCATGCATCCACACATCCAAGCATTCGAAAATGATATACTATTATACATATATATTTTTTATTTTAAGATTTCGTTTATATGTACTAATTAAACTAATTTTAACTGTACTAATTTTAATTACATTTATATGTTTGCACACACACATTTTTATAATATAAAATCAACTAATTTATATGTAATCATTATAATTTATATATGACGTGACATACTTGGAACCCATACTTGGAATTAGTGCTCTGCATTTATCCCATCCAAAGTACGCACACACAGCAGTGAACACACACACACCGTGAACACATACCCGGAGCAGTGGGCAGCCATTTTTGCTGCGGCGCCCGGGGAGCAGTTGGGGGTTCGGTGCCTTGCTCAAGGGCACCTCAGTCATGGTATTGAAGGTGGGAGAGAGCGCTGTACATTCACTCCCCCCACCTACAATCCCTGCCGGTATACAGTATATATATAATATGATTTATTATAGTAGATTATAATATACAAGTATATATATAATATGATTTATTATAGTAGATTATAATATACAAGTATATATATAATATGATTTATTATAGTAGATTATAATATACAAGTATATATATAATATGATTTATTATAGTAGATTATAATATATGTCACTTTTACTAATGAATTTTACTTTAGTATCATTGAGATACTATTATAATTTGTATCTAGTTTTTAGTTTTATATTTTCCATTTTCATTTTCATTTTAGTAATTTTGGTGTTTTTTTTAGCAGTTTTTGTTTACTTTATATGTACAGTAAGTAGTTTTACAAATTTTTCTCATTTAGTTATTTTTATTTAGAAGTTAATCTAAATTAAAATATGCTATGTTGCAGCTAGCTGAAAAATATTTTTTATTGGTTTAATTTATCTTTTAACAATGTTTTTTGCGTCGTTTTAAATACAGTTTTAGTTAATTATTTATATATATATATATATATATACATACATACATACATACAGTGTATATATTAGTGCTGTCAAACAATTAATCGCATCCAAAATAAAAGTTTTTGTTTGCATAATATATGTGTGTTCTGTGTGTGTATATATATATATATATATACGCATACAGTATATATTTTGAAAGTATTTACATGTCTATATTTATATAATTTATATTATAAATAAATATATTTAATATATAAACATAACATATTTTTCTGAAATATATACATGCATGTGTGTGTATTTAAATAATAAATATACACAGCACATATTATGTAAGCACATTTTTATTTTGAAAGCGATTAATCGTTTGACCACTCTAATATATAGTTAACTAAAAACATGATTAACATATATGTGTGTATGTATACACACACACACAAAATTTTAACCAAATTTTGAGTGAAATTCAATGGCATGTAAGAAACCACTATGCCACACAACACATTCCACACATATGGAGGTAATTTTGCATGAAAATAATAATTTTTATTTGTTCCTCTGGAAATGAAAGTCCTGTCATCTGTATGTATCGTAAGCATGCAAAAATGATTAAGAGCTTGGGCAGATTATTCAGTAAATAATCACAAAAACTAATTTCATTTCAGTCTGTTCCACACATTTATCATGGCATCTGAACACTTGGAATGGTGTGCTTTAATATAAAGTAATATGTTTATTATTAAGTTGTACAGACTTATTTTGCGATGCTTCTTTGTCATTTTTGGAGCTCAGCAGTCATAAATACTATCCGCTTTTATTGTATGGAAAAGATTTGTCTTTTTGTTTGAACAGTATTTAAACCGTATGAACAAAAACATGTTTCTAAAGTGACATGAGGGTGATTAATTGATGATAGGATTTTCATTTTTCATAGAACTGTCATATTTAAAGTGAGTGTGTGATTTAGTATGTGAGAGACTGTGTGTGTCTGATCTGTGTTAGATGCTTTATAAGCCCCTGCCTGCTCTCTCTCAGGTACGGTACCGTAGAGAACACCTGTCCGGCCGGCCGTTCCCACACCTGGCTGTGATGGAGGATCTGATGAAGGATGTTTGTGATGGCGCAGCTCTGCTAGCGGTCGTTCACTTCTACTGCCCTGAATACATGAGGCTAGATGGTATATAGACACACAATGGGCCACAAATGAGCAGAATAATCGTGTCAATTCATTCTTATGTAAATTGTTGCAATCAATTCAACTGCACAGTTTAAATCAGGTTTCTTTGGTGAATAGAAAGTTCAAATCGCTTACTTTGTAACATTATAAATATCTTTTCTATTAGATATTTGTCTGAAGGAGGTGCCGTCTCTATCGGACAGTGTGTATAACATCCATCTGCTCCGGGAGTTTTCTAACGAATACCTGAACAGGTGTTTTTACCTGCACACTGAAGATCTACTCTACAGCCCACCAGTGCTGAAGGTTCGTACTGAAATATATTTCATTCAGTAATACAAGAGTATAGCTAAAATAGCTACCTTCTAAGAAACCAAATGCATTCTTCAGTTAAAACAGTCCCACAACACATTGCTCCAAGCTCAGTGAAAACAAATCTACTTATACTTTTAAACTGACATGCTTAAAAAAAAAAAAAAATTTTATTATAAAATTGTTTATTCAATTAATCTAATTGACATGTAAAGTATTTGTACATCATGGTCATTTTTGTTGTACTGCCTTTAATATATGCATATTTTAATAATATAATATAATCTAAAACAAAGTATTTTAATTAAATTTATTTTTTTATTTAAAGCTGAAATAAAATCAAATATAAATATTGAATTTGACGTACTAAAACAAAAACTGAAATAAAAATAATTTAAAGCCAAATAAACAATTAAATAATACAATTATTCTATTTTAGTATATATTTACTGCATATAAAACATTTTTTAAATTGGAGTAAAGCTAAAATAAAATATAAATATTGAATATGAAGTACTAAAATTAAATTAAATTAAAAACTGAAATAAAAATTAATTAAAGCCAAATTGAAATATAAAACAATAACAAAATGGCAAAAGCACATACCAAAATGACTAAAATTTAAACTAAAACTGAATGCTTATTCAAAATATCAATAAATACTGTTATAGTATATAAATAAATAAAATAGATTGTTAATCTAATTAATCAAATAAAATTGTAAAGTGTAATTTTACAATACATCATGGTCATATTTGTTATAATGTCTTTAATATATGCAGATTTTAATTAAAAATAAATTTAAAATGAAATAGAATTTAATTAAATAATACAGTAATTCTATTTTAGTACAATATATATTTACTGTATTATATTTTTTAAAAGTTTAATTACCTTTGAGAATAATAGAAATTACAAAAATGTGGAAAATTAAAACATCTCTGTGTATTACAGTTAGTGGTCGACCGATATGGGTTTTTTGACCGCCGATGCCGATATCTTGGAAAGCAGAATGGCCAATATAATTTTATTTGTTTTAATTCATATTTAAGAAATTTGAAATCATTTGAAAATGGATTAAAAATAATTGTGTAAAATAAACATACTTATACTTTAGAAGACAAAGCATTTTTCACAAATAAATATTTAATAAAAATCTAATTGAATAGGAAGTAAACACTGTAACCAACTCAGTATTCTGGGAAGTTTGTGTATTTCTTTTTCAAATAAAGCCAAGGTAACACTCATTTTACATACAGCACACAATGAAAATGACATGAATATGACCATGGGCAAATGCATGAAGCATAGCATAATTTGAAATCACGAGTTTAGTTTGTCGATTGCGCGTCTCCAGTCAAGCTGAACTTTCCACCTGAACGCATTCAATTTGCATGGACGGACCGTCACGCAGAGAACACGCGATAATGCAGGATACAAATGCACACTTCACAAGATCTCAACTAGATTCGACTAAGTTTGCAAGGTTTGTGAAATTAAATGTTCATTAGTCATTCAAAGATGTGTTTAAATGATATTAATGCGTATTTGCTGAATGCTGACGGCAAACGAGAAAGTATTATAATGTTTGCCTTTCTATTACTAATAATATTAAAGCAGTCATTTATAATACTTTTTTGTATACATTTTAATTCAATTATTTAACAGTTCTATCTGATTATTGGATAAAACTGAACGACGACAGCGAACAAGAGGGAGAATGTGAGTACTGTGTGTTCAGGCGCTGCAATCTCAGCGCCGTCAAAATAAACGTCCCGCCTCGAACACATCGGCCAAACAGAAAAACTTATCGGCCAATGCCGATATTTGAAAAATGCCAAATATCGCCCGATATATCGATCGACCACTAATTACAGTCTTTGACATGTTCTTGTTCCTCCAGCATAACGTGATGGTTTTCATTGCTGAGCTCTTTTGGTGGTTTGAAGTAGTGAAGCCAGACTTCGTAAAGCCAAGAGACCTTCAAGAGATTAAAGATGGTAAGAATCCAGTCTTTAAAGCTCACTACTTTTCTGACACTTTGTTTCGATCTAAAAATATCCATCTCATGATTCATTCACTCTTTTATTTAAATGCTATGTTGTTATTGACAACCCATTGCTCCAATCTGACAGTGAGAGCGTCTCTTCAGCCAAAGAGTTCCCGCCCCCATGTGCCCATATCCAATGCCACCAAGCGAAACCTCTTAACTCCCTCCCCTTCAGCCGACTCGCTAGCGACAGCTGCCACTCCTGATGGTTGTATGCGGTATTACTTGCACCCTGAGGAGTCCTTGTCTGTGTAAGTCTGTTTGAAGTACCTAATGATCTGTTGCACATTGCCGTACATATTTTGCATTACATTGATTGTTTTATAAAACCTATATTTCATTTTAGTTTCAGAACAAACAGAAGCCCCTCCCACCCGCTCCTCCCACTGCGACAGAGACCGCAGAAGCCTCAGGGGGAGGAGAATTCAGGTAACTACATCTTCTAATCAAACTTTCAGGAATATTCACATATTGCACTTAAATCAATAACACTGATTAAATTGAACAGTTGCCTTTCTATTTTCTCATCTTTCTCTATCATTCTGTGAGCAGAGCTCAGGAACAGGTCAAACTCTTTGTCCCGTATGGATGGACTCATGCTTGGATCACAGTTTGCCTGGACAGAACGGAAACAAAGGTTAGGGTCAGGTCAAATGTTTTAACTAAAACTATTAAAATCTTTTTTTATGTATATGTATATTTTAACTCTGCTTTTTTTTTCAAATATTTTTGTAATATTTATTGGGATATTTGACTTTATTTCAAAATATTTTATGATATTTTATCAAATAAAATAAATATTAGATGAAAAACTTATAAAAGATAAAAAAACAAAAATTTGAATTCTTGCTCTGGCAACTAACTGAAATAAAATGCGTAGAAGATGAAGTACTAAAATTAAAAAGCCAAATAGTGAAATTGTATAGTGAAAACTAATAAAAATGACAAACGCACATAACAAAAATGACAAACTTAAACTGAAATTAAAATGAAAACATATCAAATAAATGCTAATTTAAAATAAGTACTGTAATAGTATATAAATACAATTCTATGAAAATTATTTAATTCATTTTATTTCTGTGTGATAATATCTATTTTTGGAAATCCAGGAAATTAAATACAAATGAAAGCTACTTTATTTTTTATATACTTTATCTCATATAAATATTTGCTCCTTTTATTTGGAAATTGCAAAATCTCTATAGGTTTACAACAGCCCAGTCTTGAATGAATGACTAACCCGTTCAAATTTCAAACCTGTTTTCTCAGGCCCATCTCTCAGATGGAGATGGATTGGGAACGTGTATGTGGCGATAATATCAGCTTGGCTCGATCCATAAGCAAGGACAGTTTAGCTTCTAATGTCGTCGTCATCACTCCACGACACCGCATCAACGGCCAGCCCCTCCCCCAGACACGTCACTATGACAACCAGGAGGAAGAGGAGGAGCTACTGACTGTGATTAACCCAGAGGGCGCATCTGCATCCAGAGACGCCCGACCCGAGAGTTTCTTCTTGGAACCATTGCAACCTGCGGTTCTACGTCCAAATAAGGAGAAAACGGAGGTTAGTAAGTGGGAGGAGAGTGGAGAGGGGCGGAGTCAGGGACGCAGGGGGGCGTATACACCGACAGAATGCACTCTCAACCGGAAGTTTACGCCGATCGGTAGCATAGAGCAAGCAAGCTCTCGAGCTCAATCTCCCGGAAGCTTCTTCCTGCACGACGACGTGGAGTGCGAGCGGGACAGTCCGCTCGACGACGTGGAGTGCGTGCGGGACAGTCTGCTCGACGACGCGGAGTGCGTGCGGGACAGTCCGCTCGACGACGCGGAGTGCGTGCGGGACAGTCCGCTCGGAGGCTGGGAGGACATCGCCTCGGATTTGGAGTTTGAGGAAGATGACGAAATAGAGGTCCAAGAGCAAGAGATTTCCAAAGCAGTTCTGATGCACGCTGGGAGGAAATGCATAGGACTCGGAGAGGAAGAGGAGTCGGCGAAACTGCGCCAGGATGTTTGCTTGCGCGAACGGTACGATAAAGAAGGCGCGAGTGGAAGGGCAAGTCCTTGCCCGAGCATGTTGTCGCAGGCCAGCAGCACGTCGACTGGCACTGGCCGCATGACGAGTTTCGCAGAACTCCGTAGACATGGAGTCGGATTCCCCGATGGTTGCTGCAGCACCGGGAGCTCGCAGACAACCACTCCTGATGGATCAGAAAGCGTGCAATTCCCTTCGGATGCGAGTCCGGGAACGCCAGGTGGCCGACCTGGTCTCACTTCCGAACTCGTACACCTTCGCATGCAGCTGGAGGAGAAACGGCGCGCTATTGAGATGCAGAAAAAGAAGATGGAGAACCTTTCGGCTCGGCAACGGCTGCAGCTGGGAAAAGCGGCGTTCTTTCATGTCGTTAAAAAGGGGAGGAGAGACACACTGCCACACCCAATGAAAACGGTAATTGGGTGTAAAAAGAAAGCGCTTGCGAAGGATGACTCATGCGTTGAGATTCTGAAAGCCCAAGGAAAAGACGCGGAGAGTAAAGAAACGCCGGTAGAGGAGGATAGGGACAATCGTTTGAGTGTAACAGGAGGGGGCGGGGCTTCGGATGATGTGGGCGGAGAACCAGATCTCGGCGAATGTAGCCGTTCAATTGAGCTCCTGAACGAAGCGATCGGAGCGATACAGCAGCAAATGATGCAACTGTCTCTCCAGCAGGACTTGCTCATGAAACAGACCATCCAGTCCCCGCAGGAAACCAAACCGAGCACTGTGCCGCCCTTAAACGAACACCCGCCAGAGCAACCTGAGACTAAGTCACGCCTTTCCGTACAGTTCACGGAAACCCTTTCCACCACAACCAAACGTCCTCCCAGGCTCAGCTCGAGTCGTACGCCTCAAACGAAACCTAGCGACCTCAAACTGAGCAAAGATACCAACAGTCGTCCAGCGGCGAAAGCAAGCACTCCGACACCGGGAGGCAGGACCCCCCGGGATGAGAATGAGGAAGAGGGCGGAGCTAAAGAGGGTGGGCGTGGCTCAAAAAGAATTATTCACAATACTACATTCAGACAGCAGGATGCCGCAAACCGACGCACCGACAGCCTCGACTCGCCCCAAAACGAACTCCCCCTGCTGGAACCGTCGCCTGTCGATCCAACCCAGGAGCGGAGCGAGTCCGGCGGCTCTGGAAAGGAGAACGTTCCGGTTCCGTCCGAGGAAAACCGAACGAAAGCACAGCTGATTGAAGTGGACCTATCTGACCTGGCTGAACCGGCTGACACTAGCACAGAACCTGATGAGGAACCGAAATCTGGACTGGGCTTCTTCTTTAAGGTACCAGAGCATTTTTGCAAAAGATGATGATTATTATTATTATTATTATTATTATTATTATTATTATATATTTTAAATATATTATTATTATATGATTCTATCTGTCTGTGTGTTATATTGCATTGTAAAAAAAAATCGGCCCCACTTTATATTAAGTGGCCTTAACTACTATGTACTTACATCAAAAAATAAGTACATTGTACTTATTGTGTTCATATTGTATTGCAAAACACATTTGCTGCTATTGCTGAGGTGGGATACGGGTGAGGTTAGGGACAGGTTTGGTGGTATGGGTAGGTTTAAGGGTGGGTTAAGGTGTAAGGGATGGGTCAACAGTGTAATTATAAATGTAATTACAGAAATTAATTACAGATGTAATTACATGCGGGTGTTTTTAAAATATAAGTAAAAACATGTATGTACACAATAAGTGCATTGTACCAAATTATTAATTTAAATGTAAGTACATAGATGTTAAGGCCAATTAATATAACGTGGGTCCAAAAATACTAATTATATTGCGTTATAAAATGGAACGTTTCAGCCCCAAGAAGAGTTGTTTAATAGGATTTATTTTTATTACATTTATTATTATTATTATTATCATTATTATTATTATTATTAAGTTTCAAGTTTCAGTTTATTTATATAGCACGTATAAAACAGCCACACGGCTGACCAAAGTGCTGTACAGAAATTCAAAATAGTAAAAAGAATATAAAAATCTGCACAGCTACACAATTAAACAGGGTCTCGCCTTAATAATAAAATAAGTCAATATATTAATAACACAAGAGAAACGAAGTATAAACCCATAAAAGACTAAGCAAAGACCAAGATCTGTGTTTGTATTAGATCTAAGTAGAGTGGGTTAATAAATATTTGTATTATTATTTAAATATTTCTAAATCTACTATTATAATATGATTTATCTGTTATTGTGTTGCATTATAATATTTATTCTAATTATACTTAGAAATTATGTTTAATGTGATTTATTTTATTTATTTATTTTTGGTTATTTATGGTAATTTAGTCGTTTTTTGGTTGTTTATTCATTTTTATTAAGAAATAAAACTTGAATTATTTATTGAGCATTGATGTCTTACCATTTTGCTATTGCTAGCATTTCTTAAAGGCCATAAGAATGTGAAGGCACCAATGATCAGTAATTTAATACATGTTTTTGATTAAATAAAATTGCAGTATAAAATTGTGAATGTAATTTATTTTGTTCACAATTGCAAGTGATTTTCTCTTTTAATTACTTTTCACATCTTGCCTGCCTATGATTTTATTTTATTATTTGAAATTAAAACCAATGTCTCCATTTTCCATTTCTGTATGCAGGATGATCAGAAAGATATGATTCTATCTGTCTGTGTGTTATATTGCATTGTAAAAAAAAATCGGCCCCACTTTATATTAAGTGGCCTTAACTACTATGTACTTACATCAAAAAATAAGTACATTGTACTTATTGTGTTCATATTGTATTGCAAAACACATTTGCTGCTATTGCTGAGGTGGGATACGGGTGAGGTTAGGGACAGGTTTGGTGGTATGGGTAGGTTTAAGGGTGGGTTAAGGTGTAAGGGATGGGTCAACAGTGTAATTATAAATGTAATTACAGAAATTAATTACAGATGTAATTACATGCGGGTGTTTTTAAAATATAAGTAAAAACATGTATGTACACAATAAGTGCATTGTACCAAATGATTAATTTAAATGTAAGTACATAGATGTTAAGGCCAATTAATATAACGTGGGTCCAAAAATACTAATTATATTGCGTTATAAAATGGAACGTTTCAGCCCCAAGAAGAGTTGTTTAATAGGATTTATTTTTATTACATTTATTATTATTATTATTATCATTATTATTATTATTATTAAGTTTCAAGTTTCAGTTTATTTATATAGCACGTATAAAACAGCCACACGGCTGACCAAAGTGCTGTACAGAAATTCAAAATAGTAAAAAGAATATAAAAATCTGCACAGCTACACAATTAAACAGGGTCTCGCCTTAATAATAAAATAAGTCAATATATTAATAACACAAGAGAAACGAAGTATAAACCCATAAAAGACTAAGCAAAGACCAAGATCTGTGTTTGTATTAGATCTAAGTAGAGTGGGTTAATAAATATTTGTATTATTATTTAAATATTTCTAAATCTACTATTATAATATGATTTATCTGTTATTGTGTTGCATTATAATATTTATTCTAATTATACTTAGAAATTATGTTTAATGTGATTTATTTTATTTATTTATTTTTGGTTATTTATGGTAATTTAGTCGTTTTTTGGTTGTTTATTCATTTTTATTAAGAAATAAAACTTGAATTATTTATTGAGCATTGATGTCTTACCATTTTGCTATTGCTAGCATTTCTTAAAGGCCATAAGAATGTGAAGGCACCAATGATCAGTAATTTAATACATGTTTTTGATTAAATAAAATTGCAGTATAAAATTGTGAATGTAATTTATTTTGTTCACAATTGCAAGTGATTTTCTCTTTTAATTACTTTTCACATCTTGCCTGCCTATGATTTTATTTTATTATTTGAAATTAAAACCAATGTCTCCATTTTCCATTTCTGTATGCAGGATGATCAGAAAACAGAGGATGAGCTGGCTAAGAAGAGGGCGGCGTTCCTTCTCAAACAGCAGCGTAAGGCCGAAGAGGCACGAATACGTAAGCAGCAGCTGGAGGCGGGGTCAGAGCTCAAACGAGATGAAGCCAGGTATCAGTCACGGTCGATCCAGTGTGTCTCTGTGGGAGTAAATACTGTAGAAGGGCTGCAGCAGATCGATTTGATGTCATTTGTGTGTGTTTGTATCAGACGAAAAGCTGAGGAAGAGCGTGTGCGTAAAGAGGAAGAAAAGGCTCGGAGGGAGTTGATCAAACAAGAGTACCTGAGCAGGAAGCAGCAAGAACTTCTGGAGGAACAGGGTGTGGCCAAACCACGCCCACGTAACAGGAGGCCCCGCCCTAAATCACTGCATCGTGCTGAATCTTCCTGTTCTGCTCGTAAATATTTCTGACTTGACATGCGCCATATTTCTGACTTGACATGCCTGAATTTGATTAGAACATCACTCTTTCTCTCTCCAGCGGTTAGTCTTTGTTCTGCTCCCTCTGGATCGTCTCTCTCATTGGCCTCTGCTGCTACTGAAGGTGACAGTGTGGCGTCAGGAGGGGCCAGTTCACACAGGTGAGTGGGAACAGACCATCAGTGTGCATATTATTGGCATAGATAGATAATTTACTATCAAGACAGTATTGCATATTAAACAACGTAAAAAAAAAAAAAAAATTGAGTAGCTACTTACATTTATATTTATCTGTATATACAGCTGTATATGTTTGAGCATGTAATAAATCATTGCCATAATTCCACAGGAAATTGAGCGGTGTGAATCCAACCACCTGATAATCCTTTTCCGTGACGGTGGATGTCAGTTCAGGGCGTTGTACGTATATTCCCCCGAAACAGAGGAGATCGTCAAGCTCAAAGGCACGGGACCGCGCGCCATCAGCCGCAAAATGATCGACAGACTCTACAAATACAGCTCTGACCGCAAGCAGTTCACCGTCATCCCCGCCAAGTCTGTGTCGGTCAGCGTAGACGCTCTCACCATCCACGGTCACCTGTGGCAGGCCAAGCGGCCGAGCACGTCAAAGAGAAAATGATCCCGCTTCCCATTGGCTCATCGGATTCAACCGCTGCTTTCTGATTGGTTACTGGGTTAAATTCCAGTCTCTTAAACTGCTGTTTTGCTAATGAGCAGGCCTCCTAATATTCTACTGGTCCACAAGACTCCCGCTTTCCTATTTGCTCACTAGCTGCCATGCTCCTATTGGCCACTATCTGCCTATTACACAAGCAGAGCTGAGGAAGTCAGAAGTGGGTGGAGCTTGATGTTTGATTGACAGAGTTAATGAATGTGTTTTAGGATTACGTCATCGTTCAGTGTTGTTTTTTTTAGGCAGGAATCTGCACGTGACACTTTTCTGTTTGATTTTACCATAGTATTAATTTACACAGGGAACAAAAGACGACACTTCCACTACTTGAACTATGAATTATGGTTGCTATCGTTGCACGTGCGAATGTGTGTACGAGCGCGTCCGTTTTTTTTGCATTTCTCATACCTCTCCATATGCTGCTGTTCATACATGACACTCACTTTAGCAGTGCAATGCAATGAACAAGTGACAAGGGATTTGAGTGTGTGCGCGCGTGTGTGTAGATGTTGACCTCTTCATGGTTTTAAAATATTTTATCATGAAATGCTTCTGTATTATCCATCTTTCCTTTTCTTCATGTATTCACGCTGGCTGCTGACAGTATTAATGTACGTTCCTAATTCTTCACTAAAGAATCATAGAAACGCATTGCCACTGATTGTGTGTGTGTTCAGTAAAGAATGTATGCACTCCAGGGACTCCTGTGAGCAGGGCTTTCTGTAGTATATGTTTGGATTGTACATAACTTTGCTTTAACTTTTCTTTATTAGCCTATTATTATTATTTACCATATATTTATTTTAAAGAAGAACACTGAAATTTAATAAATTATACAACCAAAATGATGTCTTGCTTGTGGTGTAATTTTAACAATCTGACCAAAGTAGAAATCAAAAATATCCTAAGATTCGTGAATTTAACACTTTTTTTGGGGGGCAGCAAACTGATCAAACATCGTAAGTCTATCCCTCTCAGCCTAGTTTTTGGTCTGTTCTGCCAGTGTTCGTGAACCCCTCCCGATCTCGCCATCGACGGCTCCCTGACCTTCTTCATTGGTGACAGCCAGGTAACAATCATATTTGCCCTGAAGTTTGTCACTGCTGTGAAATTAAAATACTATTAAAACATCTCAATACAGCCTAACTTAACCCTCCATAATGCTTAACAAGCAAGTCTGGCATTGGCATAACTTAAGCGTCATGCAAGGTCTGAAATGCCCCCAAAATTCCAGATAAGTTTTTATTTATTTATTTGTTTGGGTTTATAACTAATCTAGTTAAACATCACACCAGTATAGTGCTATTTTCCGGAATATCAGCACAATTGCATGTGACATTCATTTTATACAACAGCTCAATAAACAATAATTTGATTGTCAGTTATTTAGGCAACATTGTACATTTGGACTTTTTGCTCTATTTTGCTGATGAATCGTGTGAGTCATTCATAAAGTGAACTTTGCTTCATTCATGAATGAATCAGTCGGTTTGAATGAATCTAATGAATGAAAGTTTCTATTCTACTTAAAGGGATAGTTCACCCAAAAATGGTGATCCCAATTCATCTCCTCCGCGTCATCCTATAGTGCCATTTTGGAGAGTATCACATATGTAAACAACGTAATGAACGTATCACTGTTGCCAACTAATTTTCAGGTGAAGTTGCTAAAAGTTGCTAAATTTGTTGCTAAATGACGTTGTGATGTCATTGCGTGATGACGTCATTACGTAATCACAATGCAAAAATTGTCACTACATCAAATCTCAGTAATTTAGATTTGTTCGTAAAATAATATAAATGCATAATATAATGTTAAAATATAAATAACTTTTTATATACAACATTGAATTATTGAACGAACACTTACACCGTTTTGAAGGATTACAAGTTTTTTTTATTAGCTAGTGAAGTTCAAAACTACACATTCTGACCAATTAGTTTTAAGCAGTGTATTAGTAGTCCGTAGTTCATGAATGAATCAGTCGGTTTGAATGAATCTAATGAATGAAAGTTTCTATTCTACTTAAAGGGATAGTTCACCCAAAAATGGTGATCCCAATTCATCTCCTCCGCGTCACCACCATTTTGGAGAGTATCACATATGTAAACAACGTAATGAACGTATCACTGTTGCCAACTAATTTTCAGGCGAAGTTGCTAAAAGTTGCTAAATTTGTTGCTAAATGACGTTGTGATGTCATTGCGTGATGACGTCATTACGTAATCACAATGCAAAAATTGTCACTACATCAAATCTCAGTAATTTAGATTTGTTCGTAAAATAAAAATTTAGCAACAAAATTGCTAAACTGGCAACACTGGAACATATGCTGTCAGCAGCACTGTACACAGATACATTGTTTATGCTTTGATCTGAACGTAAACACTGTGTACATAGGTTGCATAATGTTGTTTACGATTTTTAACATCATGTAACTATTTTTATATAAATAATCATTAAAATGATGCCTTAAATAATCTTAGCTACATGTATTAAAGAATGATTGGTCATATCTTGTGTTTAAATGACAATACAAGAGCTCGCGATCACCACACACTGCTCGTTTTAATTCATGCTTGAGTCAAACAACTTAAATGTACATCACATACATCATTTACAGCGCAAAATACATGCCAATATTAGACCATTCTTAACGTTTAATAAGAAAGAAATAAACAAACAGCATGTTACCCACACTACGAGCTATAAAGAATGAGAATGTGACGTAACGCCGCGTTGAGTTCTGGGAAACTGCTTTGTTTATCCGCCATATTTGCAGGATAGTGCTGGCTTCCGCTATTGAGTTTAGGGCAGTATTTGATTGTTTGTCGTGATTGTGAAAAATGTCACCAGTGTATGTCATTCATACTGCATCGATAATTGCAATAGTAACTCAGATCATCGTTCTGAGAGAAAACTGGACAATGCAATATGTGTTTTTTGCCTTTTCTATGTGTAAAAACTCCAAGGGAAGGAGGTCGCGGAGAAGACGCCGAATAGTGAATCTGTTAATGTCACTGATTAAACCCACTGACTCTCACTCAGTAAAATAATCACATTGCTGTGTGTTTTTGAAAGTTTTGATTTGGTTGGTTTAATAGTTAACATTACCTTCATTGCGAGCATGACTCTCACTAGGCTTGTGGATTAGCAGAACTTGAACAGGGGACTTTCTAAAATGCTTAAAGTGGCTTAATGTACCAAGACAGTGATAAAGACAAAATTGTAACTGTGTGCATTGAATTGATTTAATACACGAGTTTCACAATTTGAGTTGAATTACTGAAATAAATGAACTTTTCCACGACATTCTAATTGATTGAGATGCACCTGTACTATGTGCAGATATGAGATCAAAATGTGAATGCAACGCGTTTATTTACGTTAAGCATTTTCCTCTCATATAAAGAACGCGCTTAATGCACCGAGACAGTGATATTTAAACACCACATTCTGTACACATCTTACTAATGAAGCATATGTGTGGAAAAACAGACGAGCCCAAAATATGAACTTTAGAAATCGCTGTCTTAATCCAGAAGCGCTTTCTACAATTTGAGTTGAATTACTGAAATAAATGAACTTTTCCACGACATTCTAATTGATTGAGATGCACCTGTACTATGTGCAGATATGAGATCAAAATGTGAACGCAACGCGTTTATTTACGTTAAGCATTTTCCTCTCATATAAAGAACGCGCTTAATGCACCGAGACAGTGATATTTAAACACCACATTCTGTACACATCTTACTAATGAAGCATATGTGTGGAAAAACAGACGAGCCCAAAATATGAACTTTAGAAATCGCTGTCTTAGCCCATTTAACCAGCGTTTGAAAATGCTACAAAACTTTCCCCAAGCTCCTAGGGATTTGATTTTGCTTGTCATTTGTTGAAATAAATATAAAAAGTACTGTTCGCTGAATGTGACCCACAATCTCTGATTCTCCTCCGTGGTCATGGAAAAATGAATATTTATAATGACATCAATTATACTTAGTCATTTAAAAGTTTCCAACAAAGAAATGGATCGACTTGTTGAACACACTTTTATTTGGATAATGTACCATATGATGGCTGTACACTGTATTCAAGCTAATCGGGTAAACACTGCAAACCAAATTCTTCCCTGCAAACGATACAATGAAGAATGAATGGTTGTTTAACTTAAAGGCAAAAACAAAACAAAAGATAATCATTTATCCTTATAGAGAATGAGAAGTAACCATGGGAACGGATAGCGTATCCTGCTAAAATGGCGGCGCCTTCCCGAACTGCGGAGTGACAAGATCGTGACGTAACTCCTCATTCTCTATTACGCGCCACAACGGAAAACGGACCAATCACAAACGGCCCTCTGTGAGCAGCATTGGAACGTCAGTTGGTTCGTGACGTCACAGTGCTATGCCAGTACTATAAAGGCTCACGTTGGCCTGTCTGACGATTAATCGCTTGCGGTTCGTTGCTAGTTGCATTGTTTACACTTTGCACATCTTGCAGCCAACGCTAGTCGTTTTATTGCTAGTTGCATTCTAGTATCTTTCTCACTTTGCATTTCTTCCAGCCAACGCTTAGTTACTATTTCAGAATGCTACTTACGTTGCTAGGAGTAATTGCTTTAATTCAAAGAGAGAGGAAAAAAGTCAACAACACCCCCTCAGGTCAAGAAGAAAAAGCAGACCGGAGTGATGATGGTAAATGATATGTCCACGTTATGAATATGCAGCAATTCCCTTTCTGTACTGGAGTCTGCATATTTGGATGTTTAAAGGTATTTTTGGAGGACACAGTGAAGAATTTAGGGGCTTAGCTGAAGTCCAGTTTTATAAAGTCTGTAACTTAATATAACACAAATTATACTGCACAAACACAATTCAGAAACATAAAATCAACACATGACATTTTACTTTCAAGTTTTCACTTCTTTCAAGTTCATATTTGAATTTACACAAAACCGGGAATTTGCTAATCAATATTACTGTAATTACATTAAGTGATGTTTTAATTCATTGTAATGACTTGACACCTAATTTAATGTCTAAGTGTCATGATCTAGTCACAAATATTTAAGTTACATGCTAAGGTTACCATGCAAGCTTTGGATGACCTTATTCATATTCATACACGCAACCAATTTGGGAGCTGTAAAGGCACTTTTTTAATCTTTGATTGATTTGAAACATTTCTCTTATTTAAAAGCACAATGCTCATGATCATGCCAGAAAAAAAGACATCCATGCATGTATTATCATGCAGTATCATGATGCCTTTTTTTCTGGCATGTTCATGAGCATTGTGCTTTTAAATAAGAGAAATGTACATGATGTATACATTGACCATTTACTGAAAAAATAGAAAGCCATGCCTCCAAAAGGTCACTTCATAATTTACAGAAAGCTTATAGTTGCAGTAATATGTTAATATAGTTATAAAATATTTCATAAATGTTCTTTTAATGATTAATATCTTTTGGTCCATATTCTCCCCTTTAGGTCGAGAAGTCAATGACACAGGTACAGTCTGTGCCACATCCGACTCTTCTGTTCACTTCTCTCCAGCTTCTTTCAGTGCCGCATCCAGCTGTACTGAGGACACCCCCCAAACTGCAGTCTGTGCCATCTCCGGCTGTACTGATGACGCCCCCCAAACTACAGTCTGTGCTGCGTCCGGCTGTACTGATGACGTCCCCCAAACTACAGTCTGTGCTACGTCCGGCTGTACTGATGACGCCCCCCAAACTACAGTCTGTGACACGTCCGGCTGTACTGATGACGCCCCCCAAACTACAGTCTGTGCCACGTCCAGCTGTACTGATGACGTCGCCCAAACTACAGTCTTTGCCACGTCCAACTGTAGTGATGACATCCCCCAAATTACAGTCTGTGCTGCGTCCGGCTGTACTGATGACGACAGTTCTGCCAGATTAAGTGATGACGTCTTGTTTTTCACTGCCACGTCCAAATTAAGTTATTACATCTCGTTTTTCATTGGCACATCTAAATTAAGTGATGGCGTCTCGTTTTTCACTGCCATGCCCAAATTAAGTGATGGCGTCTCGTTTTTCACTGCCACGCCCAAATTAAATGATGACGTCTTGTTTTTCACTGCCACGCCCAAATTAAGTGATGGCGTCTCGTTTTTCACTGGCATATCTAAATTAAATGATGGCGTCTTGTTTTTCACTGCCATGCCCAAATTAAGTGATGGCGTCTCGTTTTTCATTGGCACATCTAAATTAAGTGATGGCATCTCATTTTTCACTGCCACGTCCAAACTAAGTGATGACGTCTCGTTTTTCACTGCCATGCCCAAATTAAGTGATGACGTCTTGTTTTTCATTGGCACATCTAAACTAAGTGATGGCGTCTCGTTTTTCACTGCCATGCCCAAATTAAGTGATGACGTCTTGTTTTTCATTGGCACATCTAAATTAAGTGATGGCGTCTCGTTTTTCACTGCCATGCCCAACTTAAGTGATGACGTCTTGTTTTTCATTGGCACATCTAAATTAAGTGATGGCATCTCATTTTTCACTGCCACGTCCAAACTAAGTGATGACGTCTCGTTTTTCTCTGCCACGTCCAAATTAAGTGATGATGTCTCATTTTTCTCTGCCATGTCCAATTTAAGTAGCGACGTCCCTCCATCTTTTTTCCCTGTGATGTCCAAATTAAGTGATGTTGTTTTATTTTATTCTGGCACATCCAAATTAAGTGATGACGTCTCTCTAGCTTTTTTCTCTGCCAAGTCCATATTAAGTGTTGATGTCCCTCCAGCCAGTTTCCCTGCAATGTCCAAATGTAGCGATGATGTCCCTCAAGCTTTATTCTCTGTGACGTCCAAAAGTAGTGATGACGTCCCTCCTGCTTTGTTCTCTGTGACGTCCAAAAGTAGTGATGACGTCCCTCCTCCTTTGTTCTCTGTGATGTCCAAAAGTAGTGATGATGCCCCTCCAGTTTTATTTTATGTCACATCCAAATGTATTGATGACGTCCCTCCAGCTTTATTCCCTGTGACGTCCAAAAGTAGTGATGACATCTCTCCAGTTTTATTTTATGTCACGTCTGACTGTAGAGATGAAGCCCTCCAAGCTTCAGTCCGTTTTGTAGCTGACTTGAGTGTTGGCGTCCCTCAGTCTCCAGTCCACGAAACATTAGACTGTGGAGTCAATGTCCCCCAAGCTACAACCTGTGCAGCACCTGACTGTAGTGGTTATGCTCCCCAAATTCATTCAAGCCAGCTACAGGATAATGAGACAACAATTATTGGTTAGTTTGCTACCACAACATAATCCAACACACACACACTTTAAAGTTTATACTTCAGATTGACTTTAATATGCATTTTGTTTAAGAGTAGTTAACATAGAAATGCAATTAATTTAAAGGTATTTGAATTGTATTTATGTATGACAAGTACAGGTAACTTGAATAGTTTTTAGTGTGACAAATGATTGTTTAAAGGCACAAATATTCAATGTAGTATCTCAATTATTATATTTTTTCTCAATTAATTGTAGTTTTTAAATAGATGAAGTAAGTGCTGTCACTGTGACATTTTATGTTGACATCTCTTATTTATCTTTTAAAAGACATCAATTCACACCGTTATGAAATTGGCAGTCAGCTGGGTGAAGGAGGCTTTGGAACCGTTTATGCAGCGACTCGTTTGGATGATGGCCTACAGGTATCAGTTTGTATTACTTACATTATTTTTCTAGCTAATCATTTTGTCTTATTATACATGTCCCGCTCTCTCCTGTGCAAGCACTCTTAGTGTACATCAACTATTTAAAGCACTTGTCCTGTCAGACCTGTTTAGACTATTTAAATTCATGAAAATGTACATGTCTATTCAGGGTTAATGTTTGAAATGATGTGAACTCTGCTGACAAATTAATTGTAAATCTTACACGCGTCCCTTTTTTGTTTTGTTGATCAGGTGGCGATAAAATTTGCATCCAACAGGAACACAAAGTTCATCAGCATTGTAAGTAGGCTGTGCTCTCTGTGTTTCTCCTCTCAGTCACTGTTTTCAATTTCAAACATCTCATATTAACATTAACCACAGACTCTGTGTTGTTGAGTGATTTTTCAGTATGCAGTCTGCCATTGTCAACAGTTGTTTAAGTTGAACTTGTTTAAGTCCTATATCTGTCTAACCATCAGAACAACTGTCTTTCTTCTAGGACGGTTGTTCCAAGCCTCTTCCATTGGAGGTCGCTTTGCAAATTCTTGCAAATAAACGCCCCAGGGTTGAGGAAATCATCCAGCTTCTGGACTGGCAGGTGGATCCTGACTATTACTTTATGGTGCTAGAGCGGCCCATGCCCTGTCAGTCCTTGTATGAATATTTAAAGTGCTACAAGGGCACCATGGAAGAGGACGTGGCACGAGTTATAATGCACCAGGCAATATTCGCAGCTCGAATGTGCTGCCTTCGTGGAGTGTTGCACCGGGATATTAAGCTGGAAAACCTTCTGATTAACCCGGACACACTCGAACTCAAATTGATTGACTTTGGCTGTGGTGCAATCCTCACCGACGTGGGTTACACGTCCTTTGCTGGTATGTATGATGAACCCTCAAAGCTGTGAAGTGGGTGTCTAATGGGATCCACTGTTGTGAATCAAATGGCATCAAATAATTTCTTGCATGATAATGAATATCTAGTTAAAATGCTGTGTTAATGGAAACAAAATGTCATCTCCAGGCTCAAGAGAGTACTGCCCTCCCGAGTATCACATGACCGGCAAGTACCACGGGGAACCAGGGACAGTGTGGTCACTCGGGATCCTCTTGTTTGTGATACTTTTTAGTAAATTTCCAAAAAGACGACATCTGCACAAGATTAATGCTAAAAACTGGACCAAAGCTGGCTTGTCGAAAGGTGAGATCTTCACTTCAGCAAAAATCAGTTGTACATCAGTGGCTTAATTAAGAATGGTCGTTGGGATAATTTGACTGTCGATCAAAGAGATCAGGTGTTAAGTTCAAAATGATAGTCAGACATCTCTATTTTCTTTCTGCACAGAATGCTGCGATTTAATTCGCCGTTGTCTACAGATTGACCCAAAACAGCGGATTGAACTGGGGAAACTCAGTCTCCACGACTGGTTTATGGTAAATACATTCTGTTGATTTTGAAGTATTTTGATTTGGTTTGGTTTAATAATCAGACTATGGATATTAGCTTTCTTACTCTTTCTTTTTATAGTTTTCTTTTCCTATGTGACAAGTTGCAGCGCTGTATGTTTAGACCATCTGAAATGATCTGACCTTTTCTAAAACATTTTTTTACTCCAAGAATGTTGCCTCTTTTTGTTGTGCATTTGTTTTCCGTCCTGTTTGTGTATTTTGACACTAAACCTGATTTCTGTTGTTTCAGACTGCAGACAAGGAGAATAACAACAGCACAATAATGGGTGAGTTTGGTACCATAAGCCTAACATACAACACACACACACACACACACACACACAGTCTTTACATGCTTTACACTGACTTTAATATGCACGTTTTTAAGAATAGTTCCTTTTCCAAATAGAAGAGACCTGTGCATGATCAACGGTAACAACTGGACCAAAGATGGCTTGTCGGAAGAATGCAGCGATTTTATTTGCTGCTGTCTGCAAATCAATCCGAAAGAGCGGATTGAACTGGAGAAACTTAGTCTCCATGACTGGTTTATGGTAAGTACATTTGAATGATTTTCAAGTATTTTTGATTTGTTTTGGTTTATTTATCAGGTTATAGACATTAGCTTTTTTTGCATGTGTCAGATGATATGCTGAATGTTTATACTTTCTGTTATATTTTTACTTCAGTTCTTAAATTTCCATTGTTTTTTACTGTAAATATGCTGCCTCTCTTTGATTGTTTTTATATGTTGTGTAATGTATTTAAACAGTAAACCTGATTTCTGATTTTCCTGGTTCTTGTTTTAGATTGCAGACAAGAAGAAATGAGGGGGAGCAAAAGAAAATAGTGTAAGTAATGACAGGAAAGACAGGAAGTTCAGTGACGGCCATGACAGGAACCCAAGCCCCCTGTCCTAAACTACAAACATTATATAGTCATAATATACAAAATAAATAAATAAAGGATCACCGCTATGTTGTATAATTACATTTATTGTTTAATATACAAAGTTTATTATTATTATTATTCATAAATATCATTAAATAAATATAAAAGAGTGCATGAAATTAAATGAAATTTTATATAGTTATCAATATATACAATTATATAAAACTAATAATAATAATATAGTATAAATATAAAGCTATCAAAAATAATAACAAATAAATAAAATATAAAAAGGTGAATAAAATATAAATAAATATAAAAGATGCACTGATATGTTGTGTTGTATAATTACATTTATTATTTAATATAAAAGGTGTATTGTTATTATTCATTCATAAATATCATTAAATATATAAATATAAAAAGGTGCATGAAATAAATGTCATTTTGTATAACAATAGTTTATCATATATAAATATATAAAACTCAGCAAAAAATATATTCAAAATATAAAGCAATTAAAAATAATTACAGATAAATAAAAAAGGTGCATAAAATATAAATGTAAAAAGGTGCATGAAATTAAATTACATTTTCTATAACAACAGTATAGTTTATAATATATATTAATATTTAATTTATAATTTAATTAATTTAATAATTTATGCATTTAGCAGACGCTTTTATCCAAAGCGACTTACAGTGCATTCAGGCTATACATTTTTTACCAGTATGTGTGTATATATATAATATATATTATATACATTTTTGAATAAATTATATATAAATATATGTGTGTGTGTGTTTGTGTATATATACTTCGGTTTTAATGGTCAAAAAGTGAGATCTAAACAGGTAAACATTTCATATTTGACAATTGTGTTACGATAGAAATGTTAAACAACCGACAGTAATATCCAGGGATGCAAACAACTCAATATTCTGAACAACTAGTAGTTAATGCTGTATTTAAATGTGTGTCAGAGATGTGTCTTTCTTCTGTATGCACGTGCAGTTGCAAGAAATCAAGAGGTATAAGCTTTGACTAAAAACTAGACACAAGCCCATAATAAACCTAAACAAATACAAATGCTTTATATCGGAAATAATGCTAAAATCGCATCTGCCTACTTTATGAACCAAGCCTAAATAGCAGGCCAAAAGACATTTATAACAGGTGGACATGGCAACACCTCAAGAACACACTTTGTGAGTGTAAAGCCGCCTTCCAAACATAAAGAAAACACGTCGTCTCAGTCAATGATGGTTTGGACAGACATGAGGGTGAGTACATTTTTACAGGTCACTTTTCTTACTCTGATGAAAAACAGCCTGGTCCACTGAGCTGGATCCTGCTGGTCTGATGGTTTTAGAGGGGCTTTTGGTCACTTTTCCTGCTGTGACCAAAGCTAAATCAACTTAAACCAGCAAACGCAGTCTGGACAGTTTTTTCATCAGGATGTTTATTGAACAAGCAGCTCTTTTGATATATTTTGTGATATACATACAGTACAGATGTAATGGAATGTCTCTCTCTGTCTTTTTGTCATTTAAGAATTCTGTCTAGTATGGGATTATTGCCAGGATCAACTGGAAGTTCCTTGTGAAGAACAGAGGACACGTGACAATGAACATTACAAATGTGCAATTAGAAGACAATTTGAATATGGTAAGTGCAGATTTACTGGATTAAATTACTAGTATTGCTAGAGTGAAATTTATTACATGATTCATAGCATCTTATTGTTTTCTTATTTCTGTTTTTCATAAACAAACCTCAATGTATGTTATGCATTACAAACCAGAGATGCTCATTGATTCATATTTTGTATCAATCACAATCACAGTAGGTTATGTCTTAAGTGAACATAAACAGTTAAGAAAGAAATCTGATGTGTATCAATGCATTGGATCTGTGCGTTAAGTCTTAAAGTGACAGCAGCCTATACTGTATTCTGTAAAGTTTTAATACGTAGAATAGCAAACTATATAAAAAGTGACAGCCACTTTCAATTTTTGCATTTGTCCCACATACTAAATAGGGATTGTGAGTTATTGACAGAAAATAAGGTGTTAAACAGTGAGGATGAGATTCACTATAAAGGTTTGAATGCTTAGAAGTGAAAGTTTTCAAGCAGACCAATAAATAAACTGCAGCTGATAGTATGGTAGCAATTTATTCATAGAGGGACAGTGTTAATTAAAATGATCTCTTCATGGGTTATCATATACAAGTCTAAACACTCGCAAAACATAACACATAGATCTAAGGACATAGATGTAAAAAAAACTGTGACGTTTACAGAGGTCCACTACACAGACACGAAAGTGCATAAGTAGCTGAAACCATATTGCAGAACTACAGAGGCACTTTAAAATGCTTTTTAGATACTCAACAATGTGCTTCACTTGTAATTAATGTGAATAGCATTGAGATGCAGACCTTTAGTCTTTATAATGGCCATGAAAAGAGAATGGATACACACATGTAGTTTAGCTTTCAAACAGTGTCTTGAAAGCGCTGCCTATCTCTCGGATCATGTCAGAGGTGATGGTAGATCTGCCGTGTTTGTGAAAGCCTGGTGATTACATTGCCTCGTCAGAGATGTAGCACCAAATGCAGCTCCCAGCGAGGGATTCTTGCTGGAAATGAACATTTACAATTAAACTGAAAGTGTTATGCAATGACACATTAAATAACTACTGAAGACAGCAACTTACTAGGGCTGTCCAAAAAATCTGTTAAAAAAATTAGGTGTGCATAAGGCAGCCTTGTCAGTGGCACATGAGATGTGATGACAATGAAAGTGTCGTTGCATTTGAATGCTTTTGTTAGCTTATCCAGTTCAACCCACTAGATGCGGTGCTGCTGTGTTGTACATTCAAAATATTGTGGAAAAAGAGAACATCAATGCAGAGGAGATCTTGTTTTTTTTAAAACAAGCTGTTTACACAGAACCCATATTTTGCACATTTTCTTAAATAATGTAAGTTCATCTTTTAAAAAACATGTCTTAAACATAAAACTTTATGGCTGTTTTTTTCCCTGTCCGACTGCATCTCATGTTTTTAAATGAAAAAGTACTCTGTGTGATTGGCTTTCGGCCTTTTGTATAAACTATGCATACATACATGATGTCAGTACCGTTTCTAGGCATAGATTATTGGGGCCTAGGGTGCCACCAACAGGAGGGATGATGGTTTGGCAGCATGAACATTTTGCTAAAATGTTCAGGTTTGGACAGACATGAGGGTGAGTACATTTTTACAGGTCACTTTTCTTACTCTGATGAAAAACAGCCTGGTCCACTGAGCTGGATCCTGCTGGTCTGATGGTTTTAGAGGGGCTTTTGGTCACTTTTCCTGCTGTGACCAAAGCTAAATCAGCTTAAACCAGCAAACGCAGTCTGGACAGTTTTTTCATCAGGATGTTTATTGAACAAGCAGCTCTTTTGATATATTTTGTGATATACATACAGTACAGATGTAATGGAATGTCTCTCTCTGTCTTTTTGTCATTTAAGAATTCTGTCTAGTATGGGATTATTGCCAGGATCAGCTGGAAGTTCCTTGTGAAGAACAGAGGACACGTGACAATGAACATTACAAATGTGCAATTAGAAGACAATTTGAATATGGTAAGTGCAGATTTACTGGATTAAATTACTAGTATTGCTAGAGTGAAATTTATTACATGATTCATAGCATCTTATTGTCCAAAAAATCTGTTAAAAAAATGAGGTGTGCATAAGGCAGCCTTGTCAGTGGCACATGAGATGTGATGACAATGAAAGTGTCGTTGCATTTGAATGTTTTTGTTAGCTTATCCAGTTCAACCCACTAGATGCGGTGCTGCTGTGTTGTACATTCAAAATATTGTGGAAAAAGAGAACATCAATGCAGAGGAGATCTTGTTTTTTTTAAAACAAGCTGTTTACACAGAACCCATATTTTGCACATTTTCTTAAATAATGTAAGTTCATCTTTTAAAAAACATGTCTTAAACATAAAACTTTATGGCTGTTTTTTTCCCTGTCCGACTGCATCTCATGTTTTTAAATGAAAAAGTACTCTGTGTGATTGGCTTTCGGCCTTTTGTATAAACTATGCATACATACATGATGTCAGTACCGTTTCTAGGCATAGATTATTGGGGCCTAGGGTGCCACCAACAGGAGGGGGTGCCAATGAGCCCCCACTGGATCCCCCAACATCACTGGGCTACAGTACTGTCATTCTGACAATGTCTTTATGCCATTGGATCAGAGGGATGTCAATTGCTGCCTGATTGTTGCATGCAAAGTTTGCATTTGGAGCACTTAACAACATCATTAGATCAATGGGTTCTGTCGGTGCTTTGTCAAGGTATGGCTTTTTTTTTTGCCATGCAATAAAGCCAAGTTCAAAGGCCAATTTAAAATATTTGTACAATAAAAAGTGCACAAAATCAGTATTTTGTTTATGCAGTATTTGTGGCAGTCGAGAAATCATGTTGTGAAATGTGTGCCTTTTTGTGCCAATGCATTGTTAAAGGATCAGCGTGTTGTGTAATATTCCCAACAAACTTTAACAGCCAATTAAAAAATATTGGTGTGGTAAAATTGGCTAATTCACAAGATCAATACATCCCTGTCAAATTTAACGCATCCTTACGGAAGTGTCAAAATGCTGAATCAATTAATTCACTTCCAAAGCGCTTAAAGAGGTCATATGATGTTGCTAAAAAGAACATTATTTTGTGTATTTGGTGTAATGAAATGTGTTTATGCGGTTTAAGGTTAAAAAAACACATTATTTTCCACATACTGTACATTATTGTTTCTCCTCTATGCCCCGCCTTTCTGAAACGCGTCGATTTTTACAAAGCTCATCGTTCTGAAAAAGCGAGGTGTGCTGTGATTGGCCAGCTATCCAGTGCGTTGTGATTGGCCGAATACCTCAAGCGTGTGACGGAAATGTTACGCCCCTTACCATACTGTGATGCCGTCTC